TGTGCCCTTTATATGTAGAAATTTTATGAATTTTTACTTATCCATGTCTCAATTCTAAAAATGGTGATTGTGATGTGTTGATCAAGTTCTGATGGATCCGAAATTCTGCTATCGATTGTTTTAAAAATTATTGTTAGAAAACATGTTGAACGTCTTCTATCTGAAGATGTTCATGCGAGAGAATTGAAATTAGAAAAAATAATTTGTATTAGCTTTGAGAAACGTCAACGAAAACTAAATAAACCTTAGCTCATTCAACAAACATTCGCAGCAGCAACTTTGATAAGCGTTTTAATATGCTACCGTATGCACACACGTGTTTTGATCGAGTAAATGTTGCAGGTCAAAAATCTTGTGCAGCGTCCACAACATATTAAACATATTTATTTGATAGTTGAAAATTTCTTGAAACAGAACAGAAACGTTTATGCATGTATGTATATTGACTGAACAGATTAATCAGAAAAACTACACGAACAATCATCTATAGAAACTCTCGATTTTTAAAGATATATTTCCATGTTCATGATAGGCACATGTTCTTCCTTAACTACTGTTTCTTCTTAGATTGAAGTGGTAACCATGGATAACAACGCTGAATTAATTAAGCCTTGGTTTCCTAAGAAAAGCGGGTTGGTTAATTCAGACAACAAGCAAAAGACAATGGCAAATGCACAAGATGCAAGAAACGTTCAAGATCAAACTATCGATGACATAGAAAATGACACGTTGCAACAGAACATGTATAATTCTTTTTATTTTAATGTAAAATAATATCACTGCTGCTCTTTCTTAGAAAGTATCGTCACTGGTCAATGTTGGGTTGCATAACCAAACCTATCTTTGTGTTACCTATGATTACAAGTGCAGTTACGATCATAGGTATACTAGTGGTTTGCTTTACTGCACCAAAATCAGGTACGTACTTGCTGCTTTGCATTCTTTCTATTAAATACGACAAAAATCCATAGTTGACTAGGCTCCGTTTCATCAGTATTGTGAGTTTTGGTTAAAAAAACTTAAACCATGCAGTGAGAACAGAATTATAAGTATTACGACTGCTTCTCTTTCTCATTCCAAATTTCCTTGAACTATTGCAACCTCGCCATGGTGATCATCGCCAATAGATGCCATAGTTTGTTTCTCAGTCGAACTTTACTATGTCACTTATCGGTAGGAATTATAGATTAGGGAAGGATTCCAGAAAGAGCCACTGAGTTGCCGCTTAGTTCTAGAGCAACGCGGATAGTCATCTTCTCTTAGTCTTTTTATATGGCAATAAAAGGAAACAATTCCACGATCTGATTTTCTACAAATTAATGTTGCCCATTGTCTCTAGTTGCCGAAAGATCAACTCTATCTTAGTGAATGTTCTCTAATCACTTCTTCTATTATTTTTAGTGGTACTCTTTCACATCTCTCAATGGAAACAGCAGCTTATCCTTGATTTCTTTGTCTCTTTCGTATCGATATGTTCTTGGATACAATAAAAATAAGAAAAGATAAAGCGAAAATACAAGTAATTGTCTCATAGAACGCGATAATAGTAAACATTTCTTCTGCACTGAACACATCTTCTTTATATTTTGACACTGTATGTTGCCTGTAGAGAAGAGTAAGCATTATATTCGGTAGTCCAAAATGTTTCTGATACGCAGTGATTCGCAAATATCTCAGCATAAATAAGTGATAAAAACGCTTGGTTATTTTTCACGGGATACGTCGTCAAACGCTCTATAAAACAAATGCCGGAACAGAGCCCTACTAAGATGTTCTAATGATTGTCCCTATAGTCGAAATGAAACACCTACATATAGGTGCTACTTTCCATCGTATTTAGAATAATAAAAAACGTTTGGAAGACCTTTTTTTATTTTGAAAGAGGAATTTGCTCATACAGCATTTATAGAGTTTTTGACGAAGTATCTTTTGAAAAAATCAGGGCTCCATCATTTTCTCAAGCCAAGATACACAGAAAAAATAAAAGTCTTTCTAACATTTTATTTATTCTAAATACAGTAGGAAATAGCACTCTTATGCATCATTTTTCATAGCAAATAGAGAAGAAACTACCAGAACAAGTTAGGGAAGATTTGTTCATATTTTTGACAAGAACTCAAGAGTTTATCATTTATCTGTTCAGAAATATTTATGAACAGTGTTTTCATAAAATCTCCTAAATACTAGGAAAAAAATATTTCATTTCATGTATCAGCTAGTTCATTTTGAATTCATATATATTTGTTTGATGATAAAATTCTTCCTGAGCAGGAGTTCTGTAGTTTTCTAGAACTTGCAACAGAAATATCGCTAACAGAACGAATCCTTTATTCCTGTGCTTTATCTTTATTTTATAAAAATAAAGGATTCATTTCTCTTTATTCTTTATTATCAAGAATAGTAAACATAAGGAGTGGATCCTATTTAAAACATGTGATAGGAACATTATACACCTTTTAATTTCAACCATGTAGAGAAATCATCACAGTAAGTCGATAGAGATTTTTTACACATCTTTGGTAGAGCTTTCGATGGCATATCTTTCAAGAACGAAATCAAGAAATTATTGCTTTCTGAGTCTGATATAGATATACGAAGTAAAAACGTTCTTTGCAACGTTTCTATTATCCTAAATATGGTCTGAAGTAGCACTAGTATGTTGACATTGCATTTTTGCTGTAGGAAAAAAATGATCAGAACATGTAAGTAGAGACCTGTTTCAGCATTATTTGTAGAGCTGCTGACATTGATCTTTGGAAAAAGACCTTTTTATTATATACCCCGAAAAGCAAAATTTGGACACTGTATTTTGGGCATATCGTTACTATAACAGCATATTTTAAAAATAATAATACTATATTCGGAAAGCGTGTGAAATCCTCTACCAATCTGTGTATTTGTATTTTAGTTTTCAACTCTGAATGATCAACATAAATTTCATACAATAAAGACACCCTCATGCCCAGATTCCCAGTCACAATTTCGTGACTGTAATCAAATTAAGTTTTTTAGATTTTGCATCATCGTAGAATGATTGTTTTGAAAGAGCAATTATATATTCTGATAGCGCTTAAAATTCTCTATCTTTCTATAAATTTGTTTACTCTCTTACATTTACCTATTATAAAAATAATATAAGAACAATGAAATCATCTCAATTGACAATTTCGAAAAAATCCACAACTTTTTTTGGCTATTTTTCTAAATTTTCTGTCTAACTTAGGATTGATCAACGGGGATGTTTGAATATTACTCGATTTAGTATTCAACACACAAATATATGATAAAACAAAAATATATAGGGTGACAGAGAATTTGAAGCTTTATCAGAATACATAATCACTTTTATAAAAAAAATAATTTTCTTCGTACTTATAGCTCAAAAAATATATCATACACAAGATTTTTCAAAATTGTCAATTGAGATGATATCATTGTTCTTATATTATTTTTATAATAGGTAAATGTAAGAGAGTAAACAAATTTATAGAAAGGTAGAGAATTTTAAGCGCTATCAGAACATATGATTGCTCTTTCAAAACAATCATTCTACGATGATGCAAAATCTAAAAAACCTAATTTAAGTACAGTGACAAAATCATGTCTATGGGAATCTGGACATGAGGGTGTCTTCATTATACTCAATTTATCTTGATCATTCAAAATCTAAAACTAAAATACAAATACACAGGCTGGTAGTGGATTTCACGTGCTTTCCGAATATGGTATTATTATTTTAAAAATATGCTGTTATAGTAACGATATGCCCAAAATACAGTGTCCAACTGTTGCTTTTCGGGGGTATATATTCATGCTTAGATATGTGGGAAATACAGCATATTGCAAACATTTTGGGACGCCCAATATCTGTTTTATCTATATCTTCTTTCTTTGCACTTTCATGTCTAGACAAGTATACATTTCTTTTCGAGTATGTTCTGACACATTCATCTTCTTTTTCTGTCTTTCTGTACGACTCATGTTTGTTCAATCTCGTATTCTCCAGAGAGCTCTAAACTCCTTATTTTATTCTAGTTTATTTTTTTCGTTACTATTATTTGTAACAATAAAACGTTGTGTATAAGTCGTAAAATAAGAAGTCTATCTGATTAACAACTCATTAGTAGCCGACTATCTTAGCAAAGTAAACAGATAGTAGGTACATTTTGTATTACATATTCTTTACATCTCTGGATGGTAAAAATGAGTAAAACCCATGGCATACTAAGAGTATTATTAAATGAGGTATCAGGCAACTTATCTTGTAAGGAAAATCAGATGTTATCGAAGATTTGCAACTAAAGGACCAAGAATATTGATCACTATTTGCAATTGGATATATCGATAGAAGTCACACATTGCTCACTGTATAGAAAACAACAGTAATAAATAGCTGTACACTTGTTACTCAAAAACTGTCGATCAATTTTTAATGCTCTTATGATGTAACCGCTGACACATAGACCTATTATTTTTAGCGCATTGTTGTTTGTATGATATTTCTTGTCTTCTTCACTCATATATTGTGCTGTTTGTGCATGGTCATTCAGTCAGTAGATTCAAATTCTCTTCGCTACTGACCGCATGTCTGTCTTTTGTTGTTCTCAAGTATTTGTAGCAGTTATTGTCATATAGAATTTGTTAATGTGACTGTCAAACCAAAATACTGACTCAAGCACCGAAAGCATCACGCAACATAACAGTTTTGATATCCGCTCGATCCTGGAACAGTGTAATACAACATAGTTTTTGAACGAAATTTACAGTAATTGCGAGAATGAGAATATACCAATGGCCTAATTGATGAATTCCTATACTTCACTCTATCTAAATTTCAAGAAACTGATCATAGTTCTTTTGAAAGCTGATGGTTTTCAATTGTCTCAAAATATAGTCATACAATAATTTCTGACGGCATTTTATAAGAGTTTTGATAATTCGAAAGAATCTAGGATGGATAGTTTCCCTGAAACAAACAATCAATCATCATATTGATTTTGATGTATCGTTTAGTTTCAAAGTGTGCCCTCAATTTCAAACCAACGGTTCAAAAGCCGATTGAATATAAGTATGGCCCACGATCTGTCGCTCTTGGTGATTTTAATAGTGACACGGTTTTGGATATGGTTATTTCCAATCATTTAGTGAATAAAATAGCTGTCTATTTGGGAAATGGTGATGGGACTTTTAAAGATCCAACGATGTATTCAACAGGTTCTTACTCTAGTCCTTACATGGTCACAGTTGCTGATTTGAACAATGACAACCGATTAGATCTTGCAGTGGCAAATTTCGGCACTAACAATGTCGAGATCTTTCATGGATTTGGGAATGGATCTTTTGTAATTCAAACAGAACTTTCAACAGGCTCATCTCGCCCGATAGCAATTATAGCCGTTGATTTCAACAATGATTCCATATTTGATATTGCCACTGCCAATCACGGAACTCACAGTGTTAGTATATTCTATGGATATGGCCATGGAAACTTTTCACCTCCAATTACATATACAACAGGTTATGATTCTCTACCATCTTCTTTAGCTGCTGGAGATTTCAATAACGACAACCATTTAGATCTCGCCATTGCCAATTACGGGACCAATAATGTAGGCATACTTTTCGGAAACAGGAACAGAACTTTTGAAAAACAAATCACCTTTTCAACTGGACCTGGTTCCCATCCATATTCAATTGCCGTCGGTCATTTCCATACCGACAACTTTCTAGATATCGCTATCGCGAATTCCGGAACTGGCAAAATAGGTGTACTCTTAAACAACGGTAACGGAACTTTCGCCAATCAAGCCACCTATTCTCTCGATTCTGCTTTTCCATATGCGATTGGCGTCGGAGACTTCAACCAAGATAATCGATTAGACATCGTCGTCATTAATAACGGCTATGAAAATATAGGTATAATTCTTGGATATGGAAACGGCCATTTTGAAAATCCAACTATGTATCCAACTGGATCTTATTCTTCGATTTCTGTTGCCATAGGTGATCTCAATAAGGACTATCGATTAGATGTTGTCGTTGTAAACAATGATACTGGTGCCATAGATATTCTCGTTGGGCGCTACGAGGGCTTTCAAAATCAAATAAGGTATTTAGCCGGCTCTTGGCCACAATCTGTAGTTGTTGGTGATTTCAACAACGACACTCGACTAGATATCGTTGTCGCCAATGAGTTTAGCAATAATGTGAGTGTTCTTCTTGGAAATGGAAATGGCTTTTTTGAAAATCAAATAAGGTATTCAGCTGGCTCTATGCCACTATGCATAGCCGTTAGTGATTTCAACAACGACACTCGACTAGATATCGTTGTCGTCAATTCTGGTAGCAATGATGTGAGTGTCCTTCTTGGAAATGGAAATGGTTCTTTTGAAAATCAAATAAGATATTCAGTTGGCTCTAATCCATATTCTGTAGTTGTTGGTGATTTCAGCAACGACACTCGACTAGATATCGTTGTCGCCAATTTTGGGAGCAATGACGTGAGTGTTCTTCTTGGAACTGGAAATGGTTCTTTTGAAAATCAAATAAGGTATTCAGTTGGCTCTTCTCCACGATCCATAGCTGTTGGTGATTTCAACAACGATACTCGACTAGATATCGTTGTCGTCAATTCGGGTAGCAATGATGTGAGTATTCTTCTTGGAAATGGAAATGGTTCTTTTGAAAATCAAATAAGGTATTCAGCTGGCGATTATCCACAATCTGTAGTTGTTGGTGATTTCAACAACGACACTCGACTAGATTTCGTTGTCGCCAATTATCAAAGCAATGATGTGAGTGTTCTTCTTGGAAATAGAAATGGTTCTTTTGAAAATCAAACAAGGTATTCAGCTGGCGATTATCCACAATCTGTGGTTGTTGGTGATTTCAACAACGACACTCGACTAGATATGGTTCTCGTCAATTCTGGTAGCAATGATGTGAGTGTCCTGCTGCAATATAACAGAGGAGTGATAGCATATAAAATGACGTATGCATCTGGCGGCGGATCTCGTCTACAATGCGTAGTGATTGGTGATTTGAACAACGATAGTAACCTGGATATCGTCTTAGCTAATTATGGCACTAATAATATCGGCGTCCTTTTTGCATATGGAAACGGTAGTTTTGAAAACCAAATGATGCTCAGCAGTGGTGCGAATTCTCATCCGATTTCCGTCACGATTGGGGACTTCAATGGTGACGGCGTAGTGGATATTGCTTTAGCCAATAACGGTACCAGCCATGCAGATATGATGCTTGGAAAGGGGAAGAGAAATTTTGCAATTCAAACAAGTTATGAAAGTGGTTTCGATTCACCTCCATTAGTTATGGCTTCTGGTGATTTTAATAATGACAAACGATTGGAGATCGTGATCGCTAACGGTGGAAGTAATCACGTGGATATTTTTGTTGCGTACAATCATGATTCTTTCGAAAACCAAATAAGGTATTCAGCTGGCTCTATGCCACAATCTGTAGTTGTTGGTGATTTCAATAACGACACTCGAATAGATATCGTTGTCGCCAATTATCAAAGCAATGATGTGAGTGTTCTTCTTAGAAATGGAAATGGTTCTTTTGAAATTCAAACAAGGTATTCAGCTGGCTCTTATCCAGTATCTGTAGTTGTTGGTGATTTCAATAACGACATTCGACTAGATATCGTTGTCGTCAATTCGGGTAGCAATGATGTGAGTGTTCTTCTTGGAAATGGAAATGGTTCTTTTGAAAATCAAATAAGATATTCAGCTGGCTCAATACCACTATCCATAGCCGTTGATGATTTCAACAACGACACTCGACTAGATATCGTTGTCGCCAATTTTGGGAGCAATGATGTGAGTGTCCTTCTTGGAAATGAAAATGGTTCTTTTGAAAATCAAATAAAGTATTCAGCTGGCGATGATCAAAGATCTGTAGCTGTTGGTGATTTCAATAACGACACTCGAATAGATATCGTTGTCGCCAATTATCAAAGCAATGATGTGAGTGTTCTTCTTGGAAATGGAAATGGTTCTTTTGAAAATCAAATAAGATATTCAGTTGGTGATTATCCATATTATGTAGTTGTTGGCGATTTCAACAACGACACTCAACTAGATATCGTTGTCATCAATTGGGATAGCAATGATGTGAGTATCCTTCTTGGAAATGGAAATGGTTCTTTTGAAAATCAAACAAGGTATTCAGCTGGCTCTTATCCAGTATCTGTAGTTGTTGGTGATTTCAATAACGACATTCGACTAGATATCGTTGTCGCCAATCGTGACAACAATGATGTCAGTGTGCTTCTTGGAAATGGAAATGGTTCTTTTGAAAATCAAATAAGGTATTCAGCTGGCTCTATGCCACTATCCATAGCCGTTGGTGATTTCAACAACGATACTCGACTAGATATCGTTGTCGCCAATTCTGGTAGCAATGACGTAAGTGTTCTTCTTGGCTACGAAGATATAGTTTTTGTAAAGCAAATGAAGCTCGTAACTGGAAATGATTCTCGACCACAGTCTTTAGTGATTAGCGATTTTAATAATGATGGTCTAATGGATATTGGTCTCGTCAATTCACGTGCGAACAACATTGGTATTTTTCTTGGATATGGAAATATCTCTTTTGCAAATCAAGTGACATATTCAACTGGCCTGTATTCATCTCCATGCTCTATGGCTGTCGGTGATTTCAACAATGATGCTCGAGTGGATTTGGTATTTGCTAGTTGTGTCTCGGACAGTGTTGGTATTATTCTTGGATATGGCAATGGCTCTTTCGGAAATGTAATGTCCTATTCAACAGGTTCAAACTCGTCTCGATACTCTCTAGCTGTAAGTGACATTAACAACGATAATTTAGAAGACGTTATCATCGCGAATTATAACCACAACAATTTAGGTGTTCTTCTTGGATATGGTAACGGTACCTTTGCAAGTGTCATCCTATTCCAGTTGGGCTATGGATCCAACCCATTCTCCATTGTCGTTGGAGACTTCAACAATGACAGAAAACTCGATATTGCCGTTTCTAATAATGTAACTGACAGCTTAAATATTCTCTTGCAGACTTGTTAGTTTTTTATTTCGTAGTTTATATTTTTCTATCATTCAGTTATTTCGTATGCTCTTATATCTAGTGGAACCATAGTTTAAATATTCAAATGATTTTAACTGCAAAAAGATGAGTGGGAAAAGGGTGTGGGTGCGCATGTGGGCACTGGATTGAGAATAATACACCGACCCCCAAATTGTCTCGATTAACTCTCTTTTCTCACGATACGTATTGGGGTGTGGGTGGGTGTGGGGTGTGGGTGTGGGTGTGGGTGTGGGTGTGGGTGTTGGTGTTTGTGTTCCCTCTAACTACACCCACCCACACCCACACCAACACCCAATCAATTATTGTGTATGTACGATGCAGATATATTTGAATGACAAATACAATGTTGTCTTGCTTTAGCGCAGTTGTTACATACATTCGTAATCAATTGTTGCTGTTGGGTATGCAAAAGAACAGAAAAGAAAAATTGAAATCGTATTACTACTGTATATTTGACTTTCAAATATCAACTAGTCATATTTTTTTTCTTACATCTCTCATTGCTTGAAATCAGAAAGAAAATCATGAGAAACAGTTTTCTATGAAGAGATTGTTTGATTATTAATGATACGCTCGAATTTCTTTCTTTCCATTGACTTAAATTGTCGAGACGAAAAAAAATAGTTGCTGATCATTCATCAACTATTCTACATGCAAATAACTTGTCTCCGTANCGAATTTCTTTCTTTCCATTGACTTAAATTTCTTGAAAGACAAAATATAATTATATTTCAGTTTAGTACGAAAACAAGTTATTTGCATTTTCAATATTTGATGAATGATCAGTAACTATTTTTTTTCGTCTCGACAATTTACCAGCAGAACTAGATCAGTTATTGGATAGTCGAGAAACTGATTCAATTAAGTAATGGAAGAAGGATCGAAATCTTCTTGGCATTGAGTTTTATCTTTATTTATTGTTGGTGCTTTTTTGGGCTTTTAGAAGTGAGATAAAAGATTCTCTCGGGAGGGTTTAGTCGCGGGTCTTGGGAAGATATCCTGTGATTTGATGAGGGGCAGGTGGTAGCTACTACTTGCATGTGCTTCGCTTTAGATGTGAGTG